GCAGAATTGAAATCTGGGCCTAGGCAGTCTGGTTCCAGAGTTTATGTTTTTAAACCACTACATTCATAATTTTTTGATTCCTTACTTCTAATGTATAAAGACCTGATGATTATCACCAGTTATATTCTTTAAAAAGACGCTAAAAGTTGAAATGATGCATTGAGGTCAAATCTAAAATTCTAACAGAAACAAGGACATAATAAAGGGATACTGAATTAGGAAAACCAAAATTTTTATGGCCATAAATTAACAAATTAAACCAATTATAAATGCCTTATCAGAATAGGTTAATATTTAAAGACATAAATAACTGATTAAATAGTCATGTAAAGCATATTAAAGATGTTGAAATTTATTTCCTTAATATACATGTAGTACTTTTTGAAGATCTTTAGAACCAGCTGGTTGTTATTTGAACTAGATATATCTATTTTGGAACTTTTTGTTCCCTGCAAATTTCCCACTGAGAGCACAGTCAACATTGGAAGTCAAGTAGGCTGCCTTTATGCAATCTTTTGGGGGTGGGGAGAACCATGTGTTTTCTTTGGCTTTTACCTTATTGGTTTCACTTAAATAGTAACATGGGAAGGAGAATGAGTGGGGGGAGGTGGACACCTGTCATTAAAATGTACATGTCAACTCAAATATATCCTGGCTTTTATTAACCTTTATTCCCTCAGGACACTGTTGTGCATGAAGTTTAAAAGTTTTCACATGCATTTTTCCATCTCATTCTAAGTCTTGTCTTTGCCCCATCGTAGAATGAAATTTTTCTTTTATCCAACACTTTTCTTTTTTTTTGGTGATCATGCCTGCTAGGCAGTTGCTCTACCACTTGAGCCACTCTGCCAGCCCTGTCCCTGTGTGTGTGTGTGTGTGTGTGTGTGTGTGTGTGTGTGTTGTGTTGTGTTGTGTTGTGTATTTTCAAGACAGGGTTTTGTGAACTATTTGCCTGGGCTAGCCTCAAACCGCAATCCTCCTGGTCTCTGCTTCCTGAGTGGTATGAGTCACTGGCACATGGCTTATCCAATACTTTTTAAGACTGTAACTATGAAATAATAACACTTGACATTTTAATATATCAGAACTTATCAGGGGTGGGGGCAGGGGGGAGAAATGACCCAAGCCTTGTATGCACATATGAATAATAAAACAATAAAAAAAAAAAAAAACAGAAAATCAAAACCAACAACCAAAAAAAGAAAATGATTTTATGGAGAGCAAAAAAAAAATCACTTACTTTTATCTAAAGGAGTATTATTATACCATAATCATATGCCTACATTCTGTTCATTGATTTTACAAGTAGGAAAATGGCAAGGGTTTTTGTTCCTGTAGTGAATGTAGACATTTATGAAATATCCCTACAAGTTCCTACCACCCATGTATTTAGTAGGGCATTATACCTGATTGCAATAATGAACTGACTCATTCAAAAAATGTTAAATGTAGTTTGCTTTAATAAATCTTGCAATTAAATTTAACACTTCAGAAATATTTTCATTATAGCTGATTGAATAAAATAACCACTCATGGTATGCATTCATTAAAAAACCCTCATTCTTCAATGTAAAGTAAAATATATTTCCTTATTTAAAAAACATTTATAAGGGCCTTATTTTATCTGTGTTAGAAAAAAAGTATAGTGATTATTACCAAAAAAAAAAAGAACTTATCAATCCAAATTAGTATTACTTTTTAAACTAGTGCTCTTAGGAAATCACACTGTTCAAATGACATTGCTACCATTTAAAACATTTCTTAAGCTGCCAACATAAATCATTTATCAACAAGTATTTGCATTTTAAGAGCTGGGGCTTGGGCCAAGTGGTAGAGTGATTGCCTATCAAGCATGAGTTCAAACCCCAGTAACACAAAAAAAAAAAAAAAAAAAAAAAACTTGCCCAAGATTGCACAGACACTAAGCGGTGAAGGCAGATTCCAAACCCAGGAAATCATTTTATAGAGTCCTAGTACTTGCTGTATTAGTTTCCCATGGCTTCAGCAACAAATTGCCACAAGTGCAGAAGCTTAATACAACAAGGAAAACAACCCAGAAATGTATTCCCTCACAGCTCTGGAGGGTGCAAGTCTGAAATCAAGGTGTCAGGAGGGCCATGCTTTCACCCAAGGCTCTAAGAGAGGCTCCTTCTTCCCCTCTTCTAACTTCTAATGGCTTGCTGTAGCATTATCTAAAATCTACCTGCATTTTCACGTGGCTTTCCTCTCTGTATCTCAGTCTTCTCCCTCCCTGTCTCTTAGAAAGACACTTGAGGTTGGAGTTAGAGCCCACCCTAAATTCAGGAGAATACCATATTCAGGAGGTAAGTAAGATCTTGAACTTACTTACCTTTTTAAAAACCCTGTTTCCAAAAAGGTCACATTCATAGGTACTAGGAGTTAGGACTTGGAAATTTTTTTTTTTTAGAATTCAATAGTAGTAGGTATTTCATATGAAAATTTCATATAACTGTAGGCACAATTATTTTTTAGCAAACTCAAACTCACCCCCCTCTATTATATTTCCTTAAGCTCCTCCTTATCCCTCCCCGATTTGTCTGTGGTACTAGGGTTTGAACTCAGGACTTCATGCTTGCTAGGCTGGCTCTATGCCACTTGAGCCATACCTCCACCCTTTCTCACTCTGGTTATTTTGGAGATATGGTCTCACTATTTGACTAGTTTAGGCTTCCCACTGTCACTCGCCAAGCCAGGCTTTTTTCCCATTGATATAGAGTCTCACCAACTTTTTTTTGTCCAGGCTGGCCTTGAACCTTGATCCTCCTGACCTCAGTCTTCCCAAATAGCTAGGGTTATAGGCATAAGCCACTGGCACCTGCCTCCCTCCCTTTTAAAAACAATATTTGGTTGGTTTCTTTGTGCTAGCTCCATTCATATATAAATAACATATCTCATCCTCTTCACTCCCTACCCTCTCCATTTCCCCTCTGTCTTCCATTGAACAACCCCCTCCAGTGTTCCTTTTGCACTCAAGTCCCATTATTATTCATATTTTTTTTATCATTTTAGACCTAGATTACACATATGAATGAAAAAACACAGTACTTGGCTTCTTGAATTTGGCTTATTTCATTCAGTATTTTCTTGCAAACAGTATGTCATTCTTCTTTATGGCTAACGGTTGTGTGTGTATGTGTGTGTTACATTTACTTTATCCACTCATTGGTTATTAGGTACTTAGGCTGATTCCACCACTTGGCTATTGTGAATAATACTGTGATAAACATGGGTATGCTGGTATCCCTCTTGGATGTTGATTTATACTTTTTGGTTATATGCCAAGAGTACTACAGCAGGGTCATAAGGTAGGTCCATTTTTAGCTTTTCAATTAACATTCACAGTGACTTCCAAGGTGGCTGGACCAATTTACATTCCCACCACAACAGGGTATGAGGGCTTCACACCCCCCCAAACACACACACATACATCCTCATCAACATTTGTTACTGTTTGTTTTCTTTCTTTCTTTCTTTTTTTTTTGTGATACTGGGTTTTGAACTCAAGAATGCACACTTGCTAGGTAGGTGCTCTTCCACTTGAGCTACTCCACCAGCCCTTTTTTGTGTTATTTTCTGAATAGGGTCTCAAGAACCATTTGCCTGGACTGACTGTGAACCACGATCCTCCTGATCTCTGCCTTGTGCGTAGCTAGAATTACCACCAGTGTCTGTCAGTTTTGTTTTCTTGATGATAGGCATTCTGACTGGTTGAGATGGAATTTCAATGTAATTTTGATATGCATTTCCTTTATGACTAAGGATACTGAACATTTCTTCAGGTGTTTATTAGCCATTTGTATTTCTTCTTCTGAGAAGTATCTGTTTAATTCATTTGCCCATTTATTAATTGGATTATTTGCTCGTTTGATGTTTAATGTTGGAAATACTTTTTCTTTTTGTACATGCTAAGCTTTCGCTCTATCACTAAGGTATATCCCCAACCCATTTGTTCCAATGACTTTATATTGAGATATAATTTACATACCCTACAATCTTCCCATTTGAAGCAGATAATCTGATGGTTTTAATTATATTCACAGGTATGTGCAATCAACACCAGTCAATTTTTTAACTGTTTCAAGAAGCAAATATCCACGAATTATTACTCCTCTATCTCCTTCCCAGGTTGAAGAAGCTAGTATACCTATTGTCTCTACAGATTTACTTATTCCGGACTTTCATTTAAGTGGAAATTCATAGTACACAGTCTTTTGTAACTGACTTCTTTTAGTTAGTGCATTTTTAGGTTCACCTCTGGTAAGCAAATACCAGGATTTTTTCATTTCTTTTGATTATTAAATAACATTCCATTGTATAGATAAACATATTTTGTTTATCTACTCATTCACTGATGTACATCCGAGTCATTTCTATTTTTTGGCTACTATGAATAATGCTATTAAATACAAGTTTCTGTATGGATACATGTTTTCACTTCTCTTAAATATATACCTAAAAGCATAACTGTTAGGTTATATCAGAACTCTATGCTTAATTATTTGAGGAACCGTCAGACTTTTCCAAAGTGACTGTGCCATTTTACAATTTTCCAGCAATTTATGAGAGTTCCAATTTCTCAACATCGCGATAAAAAAACCAAAATTTTTATTTGTTTAATTCTGGTCATTTTAGTGTAAATCATGTCATCTTAGTGTCAATCATGGTTTTGACTGTACTTTTCTGGTGACTAATGATGTTGAGCATCTTTTTTTGCTGTTTTGTTTTTGGCGGTACTAGGGTTTGAACTCAGGTCTCACACTTGCTAGGCAGGTGCTCTACCACTTGAGTCACTCCACCAGGCCTTTTTGTGTTGGGTATTTTTGAGAAAGGGTCTCAACAACTATCTGCCAGGGACTGGCTCGGAACCTTGATCCTCCTGATCTCTGACTCCTGAGTAGCTAAGAGTACAGGTGTGAGCCATTGGTACCCAGCCATGTTCTCACATTTCTAAATATGCAAATCTAAAGAAAAGACCTTACCTGTTCACCTGCCTCTTGAAACTCTTTGCATGCATCAGGAAACACATCATAAATAACGAGTGGATAGCCATGTTTCATGAGATTTTTTGCCATTGGATTCCCCATGTTGCCCAGTCCAATGAATCCAACTGGAGTCTTAGAAGCCATTGACCTAGAACACACTGATTTCAATACATTACTTTCAATAGGGACAGACAACATTTTTTATTACAAACATTCTTTCAATGTGTGAGTCAACTGTTATTCAGATGCTATTAATTTGTAAAATTTTTGAGGGCTAGTTTTTTGTTTTGGTTTTATTTGAGTAGTGGGTCTGGGGTTTGAATTCAGGGCTTCACACTTGCAAAGTAGGCACTTTACTGCTTGAGCCACACCTCCAGTACATTTTGCTCAGGTTATTTTGGAGATGAGGTTTTTGAAGGATTTACCTAGGCTGGTCTCAATCTGCAATCCTCCCAATCCCAAGTAGCGAGGATCACAGGTATGAGCCACTAGCACCCGGCAAGTGCTACTTTTAAACTAATAACCTAATCACATTTAAAGATATCAACAATGTGCAAACAAACTAAATTCTATTTATTAGTTCTTCAGAAAGTATTCATAAAATTTTAAGCAATCTCTCCTGTTTGCTACTTCTATAATATCCCTTTACCAATTTAAACAATAAACTCTATAAGGTTATCATTTATAAACACAATTAAGATAAGTTACCTATTACACAAAATATTTTAGATTCTTTACACTTATGTTATGTTCTTTAATAATGTGCAAGGAAGGCCCTGGGTTCAACTCCAACATGAAAGAAAAGGGGGAAGAGATTCCAAGATGGCAGCTAGAGGGAGGAAGCAGAAAGCGTGCTTCCTAAAATGAAATCTTGGAGAGAGGCTGGAGACACACCTTGCAGGCAAGGCCACTGAGAAGAGGCAAAACTTTGACCCTTCCACACCTCCAGCCTGCACAGAGCATCTCCACTTCACGTTAAACACAGAAATGAGGAGGGCTCCCGGGGCTGCCAGACACACATGCCCAGATGGTTTGGGAAGATGCAGACAAGGTAAGCTAAGTGGTATGCAGTACTCCCACAGACAACCCTGGGCCAGATCAGCATAGCCCCCTGGACAGACCGGACCCCACCCAGGCAAAAAAGAGAAACTGAGTAATAAGCAATAACAATAAAGACACATAGCAAAGAGGTGGGGCCCCCTGAGCTCCGAAGAGGGGGGGAGGGGAATCCCTTGCAGAACTGTAAATAAACAAGCCAGGCCTGGCCGGAGAGGGCGGGAGCAGTGGCATGGGCCCAGCAACCACAAGCGGGAAAGCTTGTGAGAGTGGCAGAGGGAGGAAAATTCCACAGGAGAGGCGGGAGACCCACTTCCCACGTGAGCTGTAAACAAACACGCTGAGCAGCAGGAGCAGCAGCACATGCCCAGCAATCAGGAGCAGAAAAGCTTATAAAAGCAGCGGTGGGAGGAGAACTCCACAGGAAAGGGGGGAAGACCCACTTCCCACATGAGCAGGCAGGCCTGAGAAAGCGGGTGCAGTGTCACCCCCCCCAGTGTGCTTGGAAAGGGGAAAGCTTGTAGCAGCGGCTTGCTCACAGAACTCTGAGTAAACAAAGCCTGCCTGGCCAGGTGAGTGCTAAGCTCACCCCAGAGATCTGCATAAATAACGCCTCCAGCTACAGCAGGCTGACAGCAGCAGGCAGGCAAGCAACAGCCACAGAGAGCCATTCACAGACCTGTCTCCAGACTCTATTCTTTCTCTCTCCCTACCTTTGAAGAGAAAACAAACAAACTACACCTGCATGCTGAAAAACTTACTGAAACTGTATTGCATTTGAACTTGGGGACACTTTGTTGGGGTTTTTTTTTTGTTGTTTTTGTTGTTTTGTGCGGTTTTGTACTGAGGCAACATCTCCAGGATTGGAGGCTGAGGGAAAACACCAAAATTATTAAGAACGAAACTTTATTGCATTTGAACTTGGAGATTTTTTTATTTTTTTTTATTTTATTCATATATATTTTTTTCATTTACTTATTTTTTGTTTTTATTCTTATTTTTATTCTTTGTATTTTTTATTTTCAATCTTCTCTCTGTTGCTCGAATGCCTTTTCAGCTAATGGTTGATTAGTACACTGTCTCTCCCTGTTTTTATCTTTGAAACTTTTCTTGTTTGTTTCTTTGTTTTGTTTTATTTCTACTTCTTCATTTGTTTTTCCCCTTTCCTTTAACTTCTTTGCTTTCCATCTCCTACCACCCTTCCAATGTAAATATCACTAGTGTTATTATTACAAGCAAGAAAATACCTAACCGCACACAGTACAGGGACAATAACAACACCCAGGGCAATGACGGGAAGACAGAAAAAACAGGGAAACCAGTTTCCCCACAGCAAAAAATTAGTACAGGAACCAGAGGGAAATGAAGAAAACAGACACTCAGATCCAGACTCCAACAAAATGAAGATAAACTATGCCAAAGAACCCAATGAAGCCCAAAAGAATAATCTAAAAGAAGAAATACTACAGGTAATCAAGGAGAATTTTATAGAGATGATACTGGATATGGTCAATCAAAATGTACAGGAGACACTCAAGAAATTCCAAGACAATAAAAATAGAGAATTTGAAAAAGCAAAAGAAGAAATAAAGGAAACCATAGAAGCACTGTATAAACACCAAAGTGAAACAAGGAACATGATTAATAAAGAGATAAATGAACTCAGGACAAAAATAGACAACATTAAAGAGGAAACGACCCAGGATATGGAAAACCGCAGAAAAAAGAACAAAACAGAATTGCAAAACAAAATAGAAGGCCAATCCACCATAAGAGAACAAACAGAAGACAGAATCTCAGAACTCGAAGATGAAATGGTAATTAAAGGAAAAACCGAAGAACTATCAATTAAACAACTCAAGACCTGTGAAAAGAAAATGCAAGAACTCACCAACTCCATCAAAAGACCAAACATGAGAATCATGGGCATTGAAGGAGAAGAGGTGCAAGCGAAGGGAATGTGCAATATATTCAACAAAATAATACCAGAAAATTTCCCAAATCTAGAGAAAGATAATCCCATACAGATGCAAGAGGCCTCCAAAACACCAAACATACCAGATCAAAATAGAACCACACCACGACATATCATCATTAAAACAACAAGTTCAGAAACTAGGGAAAGAATATTGAAGGCTGTAAGAGAGAAAAAACAAATAACATACAAAGGTAAACCCATCAAAATCACAGCAGACTTCTCAGTAGAAACATTAAAAGCAAGAAGAGCATGGGGCGAGATCTTCCGGGCACTGAATGAAAATAGCTTCAACCCCAGTATACTCTACCCAGCAAAACTATCATTCAAACTAGATAGAGCAATAAAAGTCTTCCATGATAAGCAGAAACTAAAACAATATGTGACCACAAAGCCACCACTACAAAAGATTCTTCAAGGGATTCTGCACACAGAAAGTGAAACCCAACATAACCATGAAAAGACAGGCAGCACCAAACTACAGGAAAAGAAAAAGCAAGAAAGTAGAGAGTAACCTCAAATTAGGTACACACAATCAAACCTTCAAACAACTAAGACAATTGAATAGGAATCACCACATACCTATCAGTACTAACACTTAATATTATTGGACTTAATTCACCCATCAAAAGGCACCGTTTGACAAAATGGATTAAAAAGGAAGATCCAACAATTTGTTGCTTACAGGAGACCCATCTCACTGACAGAAATAAGCATAGGCTTAGGATGAAAGGCTGGAAGATTTACCAAGCCAATGGCCCCGAAAACAGGCAGGAGTAGCAATACTTATCTCTGACAAAGTAGACTTCAAACCTACATTGATCAAACGAGATAAAGAAGGACATTCCATACTAATAAAAGGGGAAATAGACCAAAAGGAAATAATAATTATCAACCTATATGCACCCAATGTCAACGCACCCAATTTCATCAAACATACCCTGAAAGACCTAAAAGCATATATTAACTCCAACACAGTGGTTGTGGGAGACTTTAACACCCCATTATCATCAATAGATAGGTCATCCAAACAAAAAATCAATAAAGAAATCCAAGATCTAAAATATGCAATAGATCAAATGGACCTACTTGATGTCTACAGAACATTTCATCCAACTTCTACACAATATACATTCTTCTCAGCAGCCCATGGAACCTTCTCCAAAATAGATCATATCCTAGGGCACAAAGCAAGCCTCAGCAAATATAAGAAAATAGAAATTATACCATGCATACTATCTGATCACAATGCATAAAACTAGAACTCAACAACAAAAGTAAAGACAAAAACATGCAAACAGCTGGAAACTGAATAACTCATTGCTTAATGAACAATGGTCATTGATGAAATAAAAGAGGAAATTAAAAGTTCCTGGAAGTCAATGAAAATGAAAACACAACCTACCGGAACCTATGGGACACAGCAAAGGCAGTCCTGAGAGGAAAGTTTATAGCCATGAGTGCATATATTAAAAAGACTGAAAGATCCCAAATCAATGACCTAATGATACATCTCAAACTCCTAAAAAAAATACGAACAAGCAAATCCCAAAACAAATAGAAGGAGAGAAATAATAAAAATAAGAGCTGAAATCAATGAAATAGAAACCAAAAAAACCATACAAAGAATTAATGAAACAAAAAGTTGGTTCTTTGAAAAAATAAACAAGATCGATAGACCCCTGGCAAACCTGACTAAAATGAGGAGAGAAAAAACCCAAATTAGTAGAATCAGGAATGCAAAAGGGGAGATAACAACAAACACCATGGAAGTCCAGGAAATCATCAGAGACTACTTTGAGAACCTATATTCAAATAAATTTGAAAATCTAAAAGAAATGGACAGATTTCTAGATACATATGATCATCCAAAACTGAACCAAGAGGAAATTAATCACCTGAATAGACCTATAACACAAAATGAAATTGAAGCAGCAATCAAGAGTCTCCCCAAAAAGAAAAGTCCAGGACCTGATGGATTCTCTGCTGAATTCTATCAGACCTTTAAAGAAGAACTGATACCAACCCTCCTTAAACTGTTCCATGAAATAGAAAGGGAAGGAAAACTGCCAAACACATTTTATGAAGCCAGTATTACACTTATCCCAAAACCAGGCAAAGACACCT